TCAACGTCAGTAAATGCAAGGTGCTTTCCATATGACATCAGCACAGCTACTCATACCGACTCGGAACGGATGTACTGCAACAATCAACTCTCGAATGTGACTTGGGTGTCCTGGTTCAAGATGACTTGGGTTGCTCCAGGCAATCCGAAAAGGCCTCGAAGACCGGGGACCAACACGTTGGGCTGTTGAGGCGGGCGTTTGGACAAATAAACAGCTCAATATTTCGACCAATGCTCAGTGCGTATGTTTGCCCCCATGTCGAATACGCAATTCAAGCCTGGCATCCATGGCTGAAACACGACCTTAATGCACTGGAGCAGCCACAACGCCGGGCATCTAAGAACGTAATTGGAATGCACAATTTTTCCTACGAGGAGAGGCTGCGACGACTGGGATTGTTCAGTGGAAGCTATCGCAGACTACGAGGTGACCTGATTATGGCGTACTTGATTCTGCGAGACCCACATCATGTGTGCCGCCCTTTACTGCAATTCAGGAGCAATACAAACCTGAGGGGCCACTCATTAAAACTCGCAGAACAATACAGTCGTCTGGAGTGCCGCAGAAAGATTTTTTTCATTCGTGTCTGTCACCCGTGGAATGCTCTCCAAGAATCTGTCGTTTCTGCACCCAAACTAACAGTATTTAAAAGACGGTTGGACGATGCACTCATCCACTTACACTTTGTTACTTAACACTACGTCTCCATCCTACACCTGGAGTTTACCATGGAATTATTTGTTGAGTATAGGACTACAACGAAGCAAACGATAAGTCCTTATTATCATATTTAACGCATTAACTATGTTACTATCCCTATCATCATTATTGTTACGTTGGTATCCCCACCAACTATCCAACGAAACTTCTAAAGCAACGCTTCATAGCCCATATAAATTCATTGTTCATATTTCATTCACCAAGTTGAGTCCTTACTCAACTACTATGAGCCTTGTGTGTGCCGCACACATCCATAAGTGTGCAGGTGTGCGTGTATAGCCCGGCGACTTCAGCCAATAGGTGCTTAGACGCGCCAAGTCATAGGGGTGCAGGTGGGACGCTTCAGCTCCTACCTGGTACAGTGTTGGTGGCCGATGCACCATGTGGGCCTGTGTTTCTCTGTCCAAGGAAGCGATTCCCACCAATTAGAACGAGGGTAGGGATTTGAACGACGATTGGGTTGGTATAACGAGCCACAGCCAAATACGTTAGCCGTGTGATTTTGAACGTACAGTTCACCTGAACGCAATGGCTGGCTTGTCTGTTCGGCACGCGATGGAGCTGAAGGTCATACTGAAAGCGTACGAAGAAGGCGACGATTGGAAGCAGGTCGCTTGCATACTGGAGGTGAATGTGAAAACTTGCCACAACTAGATAATCACGTACGAATCGACGGAACCGGTGAGACAGTACGGGCTAGTCCGTCGGAGAACACTGAGAGAAAGCCACGTCGACTATCTGGTGGAGTAGGATTCTGCTGAGCCTACCGTTGCCTTTGAACTCCTTCGTTTGCAGTTGAAGGCGGAGTTCGAAATTTCAGTAAATCTCAGCACCGCCTCACGATACTTGGATGGTAGACTGATAACAATGAAGAAACTGCACACCATTTCCGAGTCCGTGAACACGTTGGAGAACAAAATGCGACGCAGGTAATTCGTTTTGCAGCTCGTGGATTAGGAGGTGGAAGGAAGGCAACTCGTATGGATTGATGCGAACAACTGCAACTTATTTTTCTCCCGCTCTCGTGGCAGCTCACGACGTGGCAGTCGAGCGCAGTGTACAGTGGCGAACAGCCGGGGACCGAATGTTCATCTTGTCAGCGCCATGCCAAACAACGGCTTGATAGCGTGTTCCGTTCGGGGAGGAAGTTACAACAAGCAAAGGTGGCTGCGACAAGTGCTAGGTAGCAACGGAGCAGAGTTTGTGGAAAGGTGTCTTTTGGTTTGCGACAACGCGCCCTGTCACACGCAAATGGAGTGGGTGTTCCTGGAGGAACCGTACCGCTCTGGGAGTGTTCTACACCCTGCGTCATATTCTCCAGCACTCAATCCCATAGAGGGCATCTGGAACATAATAAAGGCCCATGTAAAACAGGCAAGGAGGGGATGGTACTCCGAGATGCTTCTGGGGGATTCTGCAAGCGTTCTAAATAAAAGCGCGTGGCGGATTCGCTTTTTGGAGCACGCGGTGTCGGAAGCACAGGCCGTAGTGACGCAGCAGCACCGCAAACAAATGGTTCAGCATGTCAGTAAGAAGTATGGACGTGTTGTTCATCTGGTCGGTGTGTAAAGCATTCAGTTGGCAGCAAACTACCTGTCTTAAACGAGCGTTGTTCTTACTTTATAATGATGGCGGGTCAGAGTGCACTTTATACCTTGCTAGGAATAGCCAGTTCTCTATTCCGGGAAACATCGTGGGCTCTTGGTAAGTTGGTGCGTGTGGTCATGTCGCATACCCGTTTTAGTTGCTGCGTTGTCGAACAGCCATGTGAGAGCTTGACAAATAGATGACACTTTAACATGATTGTGTGGCAAGCACTTATGTTCTACCGCCTGTCGTTGTTTATGTTTGGAGAGCCCGTGGATAAGGACTTTGAGAAGGGCATACTAAATAAGAAAAGTGAACTATAAGGACATGACGGACATGGGTAATGTGTGCGGCTATTTTCCGGGTTGCTTAACCCGTTAAACCAAGCCAGACGGCTTGACGTTGCTTGCTTCTTGTGCAAAGATGATAAATGCGAGACACAGAGCATGTAGGGAAAGCATAACTAGGGAAATATTTCCGGATAGGTACTTGGCAGTTGCGGACTGTATTCGGACACACCACACGGTTGCGGTAAGAAGGTGCTTTGAAACCGCAAATGAAATATACTCGCTTCGGCGAATCACATTTACTCGTCAGGTTATAATATCTGCATAGGGATGCGTGGCTCTGCATGACGCAAACCGGTCCGTGCGTCCATATGCCACTTGCTATTTGCAGGTGGAAGTTGCTATTCCGCTCCATCCTAATTATACGTGGGTAAATGATGCGGTTATAGCCGGACATCTGTTACATTCAAATGTCATGTGTGTTTTCGTCATCCATTCACACACCTCCGGTTCCGTCCTACATCGCCAGGTGTGACTACACCGTGCAGCTAACCAGGCACACTCTCCATCCATCCCCAACTCCTAATAGGTGTTTGTTATGAAACTGTCCAGCCGCCTACCAAGTATCTGTTTCGCCTTTCAGCCCCTGGGTTTTTGAGGACCCAATGTACGTCCGGATACGGAAGCCTTGGGTACTCTCAACATGACGCATATTACACTAGGCGAGCGATTCACCGAAACAGTTCCATTGTTGTTTGCGCGAAAATGAGCGGTCACTTTACGTCGTAATTACAATCGGCCAAAATTTCGCATGGTTTACTGGCACGCATTCAAGCAGGAGCCTTTCATCAGCAATGTCATGTACATCGCTGTTAATTTGGTAATGCAGCTCTGTTGTAACCGGTTTGATTTGC